GGGGGGGGGGGAGCAGTCAGGTTATCCTTCATCCTCTACAAATGGAAATGTTTGGGTTTCTTCGAATAGTGTGTTGAATCAAGCAATCACTCTATCAGTCATCTAGTAAAAATTGCTTTCTGGTATTTTATCTGATTATCTTTGTTGTATTACACGCATCCTGTTTTCCTGTCCCAGGCATCCAAGCGACTAGTGTTAACTTTGGATATATTTTTCTCTCTGTGTCTTTGCATCCTTCTCCTAGGCGAGAGCAAACGTTAGAGAAGAAATATCCCGGGCTTTTTAAACACCATCCATCCCGCAGTCTCCTGCATGGCAACACAGTGGAGAAACTGATCAAGAAGAGGAATGTGCCACAAAAGCTCTCTCCTCACAGCAAAAGGTGAATCCCTGCAGAGAAAGGAAGGAAGGGTTTAACAATGGTCATCATGTGTAGTAGTATAAAGTGAAATAGTGTGGAAATAATGAGGAAAGAAAATGTAAGTATTGGGCACAGAACCTAAGTTTCTGTTCAGCCCAATGTCAGCTCCCAAATAGAGGGAAAATGACACGAGAACACACCTGTCCTGTTAGATGCTTTTTCCTGTCCATCTTCTTTGTTGTATTCAGTTTGTTTCCAAATGTTCAGCATCTTGTAGCGGTACCGAGCCTGCTAGCTGAGGGCATAATTAATAATTTATTGCAATCTCCTGCAAATTATTTCAATTGCTTTGATGTCTTTTATTTTACTTTTAACTAGCTGATATCACCTGGCATTGTGTGGGTATTTATTTATAGGGGGAAAATGTCCGGACCAAATGTAATTTCTAATGTTGGATTTTCCCCCTTATCAGAGGGAGATCCCTTGTGGAGTACTGTGAAGCCGTTACCATGGCAATTCCACTGTGCTGTACAGTAGAAGCCATTTCATGGCAGTACAGTAGAAGTCATTTGAAGGCACAACAGGCTGTATCGTAACAGAACACACTCCCCGAGGGGTGTTAGGGGTGTCTTACCCCAACGGTATTTTTCTCCAAAGTGTAAGTCATCTGTGTACCAAGTTTGGTTGAAATTGCTTGAGGCATTCCAGAATTATGCTGAAACACACATAGAAACACCCGGAGCTATTTTTATATATGTTGATTGTTGTTTTTATTTATGTGAGCTGCCCACAATCACTTAGGTGAGATGGGCAGCGATATAATCTTGTTAATAGGCGTAATCATGCAAAGACTTAATTCACATAAGAGTACAGCCAGTCCTTATTTAATGACCACAACTGAGATTGGAATTTTGGTTGAAAGTTACTGCGATCATGAAGCAGATCGCCATGTGACCTGACTCAGTTTTATGACAGTTCTTAACAATGATTGTAAATCGAGTCACCATAATAATTAAGCAAATCATGAACCATATCGTCATTTAATGAATCGATTATCGTAAATTGGCTTTATTTTTTTTGCTGGAAACCAGCAAAAAAGTTGCAAATTGCAGTCATAGGGACCGCAGGACGCTGCAACCGTAAATATAAACCAGTTGCCAAAATGCAATCTATATGAACACCTGGGATGTGTGCAGCAGTTGTAACTTCAAGGGCGGGTCATAAATAACTTTTCGGAGTCTGTCATAACTTCAAAAGGTTGTTAAGCAGCCATTTATTAAGTGAGGGCTACCTGAATATGTTTCTATAGTTCAGATATTCTAGTCTGCTCATTACTTCCTTTCAAGGAAATTAATAATCTAATGTAAGACCACAGAGCACCAACAGCAAAACTGCAAAAAGTTTGTGTGTGTTGGGGGGGGAGCAGTCTTAGGAACAGTAACATAGGAGCCAATTTCTTAAAGATTTCGATGGAAATTACGGTACCCTCTCCCTTCTTGGCATCGAGGTTACTCAACCAACTCTATTTCACTTCTGCAGGCCAGACATTCTAAAGACGGAGGTCATCCTGGACCCCAGCCTGCCTCAGCTCGCCATCCCCGTGTGCCAGAAAGGGCCCCCGTCCCCTGGGCGTAGCCGCCGTGCTAAGTCACGCTATCGCAAGGTCAGCACTCGGGGAAGCTGTGGGGAACTGGCCGATCCTGGAGGAGCCAAGCGCCTGGAGCCCTGCACGGCCCTCCGCGGGCTCCAGCATGACCTGCTGCTGCGCAAGATGTCGTCTTCCAGTCCTGACCTCATTTCCACGACATTGGGAGCGGAGGGCCGCAAGGGGGGAACGGGGCCGGAATCCCCACCAACGGAGCAGCCCCGCAGCGAGACGCCCAGTGAAGACACTGCCTCGGTGCCTTGCTCCAGCAGCCCCGACTCGCCCTCTTCTCGACAAGGGGCAGTGGGGCCACCAGGGAAGGCAAGGCTGCAGCCCGGAGAAGAGGCGGAACGGGAACAGGGCAAAGGCAGCCGCTCAGGGGCCCCACAGCAGTCTCAGCACCTCACACCAGCGGCTATGTTGTACCGGGCAGCTGTTACCCGCAGCCAGGTAGCACGGTGTTTCTTTCCTTTCCACTTTTTCTTCCTTCCTTCCTTTCCCAAATGGAAGAAAGTAGGTATATGGGCAACAGCCACTGTAATCTGAAAAGCCTGTAGAAATGGTGGCTGTGGTTGCCTTCTCCTTTTCTTCCTCTGATAATACAGGTAGTCCTCGATTTAAGACCACAACTGACCATAACATTTCTTTTTTGGGAGCAAGGCAGTATTAAGTCAATTTTATTCCATTTAAAGAACTTTCTTGCCACGGTTGTTAAGTGAATCACTGCAATTGTTAAGTGAATCTGGCTTCCCGATAGAATTTACTTGTCAGAAGGTCACAAAATGGGATCTCATGATCTTGTGGGACACTGCAACGATCATAAATAGGAGTCATTTTGAATATGTGACCATGGGGATGCGACAACGGTCGTAACTGTGAAAAATGGTCCTTTCACTTTTTTTCAGTGACATCGTAACTTTAAATGGTCACTAAGTGAACTGTTGTAAGTCAAGGACTACCTGTACCACAAGCAATAAGGACCCTGTGTGCAACAGATAACTGTCAAAGTTAATGCCCTTCTCCAGCTTTTAAGGACTATCATGTCCCTTTCATATCCAAGGTACAACATTAGAGCAGGATAGGATATTGTTGAATTTCTTTGCTGGCTCAGCTTATTGTATTTCTTGATTATGATTTATTAAATTGATATGTCCACCCAACTCCCAGCATTTCTGGGCTGTTCTTTATATTCAGTACCAATCTCCATCCAGGGGTGAAATCCAGCAGGTTCTGGAGAACCGGTAGTGGAAATTTTGAGTAGTCTGGAGAACCAGCAAATATCACCTCTGGCTGGCCCCAGGAGTGGGGTGGGAATAGAGATTTTGCAGTATCCTTTCCCTGCCACGCCCACTAAGCCACGCCCACCAAGCCACGCCAAGAACTGGTAGTAAAAAATTTGAATTTCACCACTGTCTCCATCCTAGTTGGCAAACAGTTTATAAACTAGCCATGTCATTCATGTATGTATGTATGTATGTATGTATGTATGTATGTATGTATGTATGTATGTATGTATGTATGTATATATATATATATA